GTAAGTGTGTCAGAAAATGCTCAATACAGACGAGTACTGTTGTCAAAGGCTTATTGGATGAAGAAAATGCAATAGACCAAAAGGAGATAGTATTTTTTATAAGATATTTCTCAAACGAAATGTCAAAATAATTAGAATTTCTCCGCAACAATATCGAGGTCATAATATATGCCATAGGTCTATAAATAAAAGAATGAGAGAGACAAACTAACGTCATAGAGAGCAAACAATGAAAGTTTTTGAAATTCTCGAACATGAGTGTGATGAGAAGATCTTGTATTTGTTTGCAACTTCTTACATATATACATACACTTACTAAAAATCCTTCTAAAACATGGTGGCTACTAATTGTTGAAGTACATGGCAAAAGAAGTAAACGATGTGACTACTTCGCAGACGGTGACAGACATGCATGGTACAGTCTGTGATAGTAAGAGTAATGTTCGACGAGTTGTTCTTTGCTATCTAGAAAAATAACGATACATGTATTAATACTTCGTCATGATAGTTGGAATGATTTTATCATGTATCACATATTGATCCTACTTTGATGATGTTTACAATTTTTATTATTGTTCATCACAGAGGTCATCGTTTCTATCAATCCTAGTGATTTTCTTTTGTGCAAACAAAATCTTCTCGACAATTTCTATAATATGAAAGAAAAACATGACTAATTTGACTTTACATTAGAGAGCATTACAAAAAATTCTCTTAGAAACAGATCTTGTGGAACACCCTGTATAAAAAAAGTAGAAGACGGAATAAGAGAGTACACTATTGAGAAACACAAGTATTTGATGCAAATATTTGTATCATGGACGTCTCATGATATATATGATCTATTCTCTAAGCGAGATACTGAGTAAAACAGTAAGAAAAAAAGAAAGACGTTCTAACTGTCATCTATTTATCATCTGTTTGATCATGCGTACGCAGTCACGAACGTAAATATGATTAAACAGCAGATATTTTTAAAGTAGAAAACCTATCAGTGAGACATATATGCATGAATACATATTTTAGCGAGACAAACAATAGATGTATCGAGTTTCATATATTTGACTTTTGAACAAATATGTTCATTCGTACTTAGATTGTGCGCTGGACAATACATCAAACATGTTTCTCTACGAGGTCCAGGAAGGTGAAACGTTTTATAGTTTGAGTCGAAAGTTCGGATGTACATTAACAACAATAATGGCTGCTAATCTTGGTGTGGAAATCAAGAAATTGCAAGCTTTCCAAACTATTAATATTCCTCATCAAATTGAGTAATAATCGATTGATAGAATTTCACTTGAAAATTATCTGTCAATTTTATTTTTAGCCCCAAGCCGATAACGAGCTCGATTCCACAGTGAAAAAGAAAAGAAAGAAATATCTTAATCAATTTATCTTAAATCTTATAATACTCAAGAAAATAATGTAACCACAAACAGTGAACGCTCTTTCTGATCCTTAGAGGTTTACTTACCACCTAACATGCATAGCTTTTGTTCTAGCAGCCCATATCATTTTTTTTCGTTTTTGCATGTTTGTTTTTGTAAAAATTGTGCAGAAAAGTGTGTTTTTTTGGGAATCAAATATTTCTAATAATGTGAAAGAATTTTTTTGTGAGAGCCGATTCACCAGTCTATGCTGGTTAGCCAAAATTCATCATAATATACTTACCACATTTTATTAATTCACTTTTATCTCAAATTATATTATTCATACAACATGAACTACTTATTTAACGTCGAAGTTTATCGTAGGCTTACTTCAACGTTGCCTACTAACTGTACGATGTACTTCACACGCGTATGAGAAATAACAGAGTAAATATAATATGGCAACCAGATTTAATATGCAATTAATAAATAGCGCCTGTGTCTGACGAATCGTTAATGAATGTGAATAGCTAGAATAGAATTATAAATCGTATGAAGTTTTCTGCTCATTCATAGGTACCAGGGGACAAAAACTTATGGATATAAATAGTAGAAAGCATTGTAGAAGAGTTTTATATCATTATCACAAGGATGTGGGGTGTAGTTGTGGGTAAGTGGATTTAGATTGAGTTAAGAGAGCAGCCATATCGTCACCTGACAATGTCATCCATTCGCAACTATCATTAGTACATTTCCAATCTCAATGAGCACCCAATGAAACTACACTAACGACCAGTCAACAACGCGCTTATATATTCATAAATGATGATTGCCTATGACTGGAAAGAGGATATTTTTCTAACGGTTGTTGGTATTGCGGGTTTCAAATTGGATGTAACATATTTGCAAGAAGAAGCTCTTCAGATTTCTAATCCATGATCATGTCTCGGGTCAGCAACTGATCAATCACTTTGATACGCGTTTAAGTACTCCCAACTAACTCTTTTGAATATTGAAGAGTACGCAATGCTAGCTGTTTCTATTTCCGATATGCTTAAAAAGATTCAGTCGTACTGATTATGTTGTAGAGGTACAACAAATTTAGAATAAATTGGAGACTTTGGATCAAAGGTCTTGGGATTTGATTTATATTTCGAGCTCAGGTTTGGACTTCTATTTGGATTTGTAGAATGAAATTACGTTCGGAACAAATTCATATAAATAGTTACCTGTAAGACGACTGTTCTTGGAACACTAACTATTAATATTATTTTTCTCCAAGACCACATACTATTCGAAACAATGAAAATTCGGTCACTAATCCCAAAATATTTTTCTCGCTATACCTTATCTCTAATAGAGTAGATTGTTGTTGATGTTAACTTATTTGATCAAACCAGTTGAGATTTGGGTTATTTGGGACGAAATTCAAACCCAACAACAAATAGAATACAGAACTAATCTAAAATCCATTCTACATAATACCGAGAGCCAAGGCGTTAAATTCGTTCTACGCCTCTTATACTGAGCCGATTCGATTTATCGTTTCGATCCGAGTCAAGAAAAAGATGTTTACATTGTCGAGACTCGTTTAAATTGATGTCCTGTCTATGCCTCCTTTTCTGTCCTTCCTTTTTGTAGGTACGGGATGTGGGTGTGGGTGAGAATCTTCTCTTCGCCCAAACCTACACCTACATTCTATAGCCACTCACACCCGCACACTACACACCTTCACATATTGCTCTCTATCTAGGATTCTAGTCGAAGAGAGCCTTTCTGTTGTAAATCATAAAGCGTGGACTGAATTCAATTGGTAAGATGTGGATGTGCAGATAAGCTCGAAAATTCGAGTATATATATCAATCTCTGTTTTTGTGATTCAGCTATACTCACACCCACTTTTACACGCACAACACACTGCCACACACCCATATTTACCTACATACTCGCATACGTAAAGTATCGAACCCCCAATGTATTCTTTGGTGCAATCATAAACCTATAGACACTCTCACACTTTTTCCTGCACTTTTAGCTATGAAATAGATGTGCGTATTTATTCGTCCTTGTTTATTGGATAAGAACTTTTAGTTCATATCCTGAAGCGTGTTAGAAAGTCATGTGTTGGGAGATTTGATTTTTTTTTGTGTTTTAGTTTTTTTGCTGAAGTTTTGTTTGGATATGATCGTTGGTTTAATCATCTGTGTAACAGCTGTAATAAGAGGTATAAGTATCGGTTGGTCACTCGTCATGTAACGGAGATCGTCTTGAAGCAATAGTTCCTGACTTTGACCGCGATGAATATGAATAGTTTCGGCTAACCTCACTTGAAACATCGTCTTCATCGTCGTCAGAACTATACAATGCTTCGTTTGCAAATGTGTCCTTCCGTTTACGGGTATACGTTGTTGATGCAGTCGGACAACGACTTGGAACATCAACTTGGTGTTCGGAATGGAGCGTCCTTGGTGAGTTCGAGGTGATGTGTCGTTCGTTTGGAAGCTCTAGATCATTGTTTGATATAGAACGGAAATCTCTAATAATTTTCTCAAAATTCGGTCGATTGTGTTTCGACCAGGTACAGCAAGCGCAGAGAATTCTTCGAAACTTTTCTGGTGCTCGTTGTTTGCGGCAAATTTCTTGAAAAATCACTCCATTTCTCTCATCAGCCAAAGCGTTTATAAGTTCTTGGTTATCTTCGTAAATTTTTCTCCATGGTACTTTCTTTGTCATCATTTCAAGTAAAACACATCCAAATGCCCAAACATCAGATGAAAATGAGCACCTCTCTGAACGATCAAAGCAAAGTTCTGGTGCAAGCCATCTGATAGCTCCTAGAATGAATGCAAATCAAATTATCTACAAAACTCGATGAGACGGATTCGTCTGTTTGTCTCCTATATCACTTTTGCATCATTTAAAAGGTGTGAGCGTGGTTGCCGGCCTAACTTTCGCCTTTTCTCTATGAGTAGATCTGGATTGGTTGGTACGTGACTGTGGTGCGTAGAGATAAGATGCTGTCGCGGATTGGTGGTTATGTAAGTGTTTGATTTTAGGTGTGGGTGTGAGTGGGTTAGATAACATGAATGTAGGATTGGTGAGTGCCTGTGGGTTTTTGTCCACTATGTTTAGACGGGTTAGCAATTGAATATGTGGTTGGAAGCATGGCTTCCTCTCGGGTTAGTAATTCTTGTTGATGCTGTGGTATGGCTTTTTATAGATGCGTATGTGTTTTGGTAAGTGGTTGTGTATAGTTATGCTGATTTGTGCTTGTGGTTATTTCCGGACTGATCGATGTTTTGTGGTCTTGTCTCTCTTCGCATCTAGCTTCCATTTGACACATCCTAGTTTGGAGTTTGAGCGAAACACATCAATTTTAAATATGAGTACATTCGCGAAGGTAAAATTTTCATCTTCAATAAGTTTGTTGGCACATATTTGGGATTTAAGAGAGTATCCACGAAATCATTACTTCAATAAGTTGTCGAATCATTTTAGTTTTCGAAATGAGTTTGCTAGTTTGTAAGAGCGTAACAAGTTACTTAGAAACTCAAATTTTGACAACTTTTGGACGATGTCTTTGAATACTTCGAAGAGCTAATAGTTTTAATCTAAAATATTGGTCTGTCAAAAAATATAACTTTTCGATTATTTTAGTTTATGAACTTTTTCATCATAAAAGTTTAAACTTGTAAAAAAAACATTGAAACAGATGAAATCACCTTTTTTTCAGCCTATTTTACATGTTTTGCTTTACTCTTCTTGCTCATGTTATGCAGCTACTTTTTAAGAGGTTAAAGTAAATTTTATATGGTTTTGTAGAGCGTCAAATAACGCATCTCCTAATAAGAAAAATGTTGATTGCAAAGTGCTAGGAAGGTTACGAAAAGTTCACAACAATGTACCCGAGTATACATTTTTTTTGGGTAATTTCGTGAAAATGTACATATCGTTTTTTTTATTACAAGATCGATTATTTTTGAGAAAGTCTAAATTGTTTTGTTTCAGATCACAACAACCAGTCAAAAGGAGGAGATGTTCCAACTGAAACCGGAAATCAATATTTATTCCACTAGAAGGTCTAAGCGGATGTCGAAAAGTTGTTTGCTCTTCGTCATAAGATGCCATACATGTTAAACTTGAAACTTGAAATTTCAAGTGAATTCAAGTTTCAAGTTTTACACTACTGATCAATTGGAGAAAAGAGGTACAAGATCATTGAATAATAAGTTATAATCATAATATTTACATTATCATTACAGATACTTAAAGTTTTCCACACAAAACATGTCAGATATATTAATTCTATTCAGAAGCACTTGTTTCATATCGTATCATTGGTAAAATCTTGAGTTCAATGAATATTTTTGAGTTATAAGTAGGGAACGGTACGGCACGAAATATTTTGAACTAAGTATTTCTTTATTTTTTAATCTTATCAGCAGAAAAAGGAGAGAGGAGATGATGGTTTGATCGCATTTCCAATGACGTTCTAAAAGTTTTATCAAATAATTTGGGTTTTCTTGAAAATAGTCGAACTTTTAATTAAAAAAATTGATATGTACATTTTCACGGACTTTTCAAAACTTTGCTAGTACTTTGTAATCAACCTTTTTTAATCAAGAGATGAATGTTTTGATGCTCTACAAAACTATGTCAAATTTACCTTAAGCTGTTAAAAAGTAACTGTGTAACAGAAGCAAGAAGGGTAAAACAAAACATGTAAAATACACAAAAAAATCGTCGACTCCATCTATTATTATGGATTTTTTCGTTTTACAACGTAAGTAATGACGTATAGGAAATATAGGATTTTGTAGAGCAACGTTCGAGGTATCGATTGGTATGATTTGATAATAGTTTTGGTCGACTTTTTGTGATGAAAAAGTTCATAAACTAAAATAATTGAAAAATCATATTTCTTTTGACAGACCAATATTTTAGATTAAAACTATTAGGTGTTCGAAGTACTCGAAGACATCGTTCAAAAATTGTCAAAATTTAGATTTCTTAGTAGCTTGTTATGCTCTTAGAAACTAGCAAACTCATCTTGAAAACTATAATTATCCGGCAATTTGTTTTTGGTGGTGATTTGATAGATTCTCTCTTAAGTTTCACTTTAATTTTAAGAGACTATGATTAGCTTTAAAATAGTGTACAATTGTTTAACGCTACCATATGGAAAGTGAGTATTTTTTTTGAATAATTATTCTCGTGGTTGTATAGTACTAAGAAGTACTAAGGAAGAAGTCGATTGTGGTTCATACTAATCTATTGATAAAATATTATTTATCTCAATGAATGTCTGTGTATTCATGAGAAGAAAAACTTTAGGAAATCTAACAGAAATATGTATAACCTCCATCATGTACTAAGTAAATCTTTGATGATTATGAGCGTGAAAAAGTTTTGCAGTTTCATTATTCATAAACAATAGTTATACTGTATCCTTACCTCTGCTTGAATCACTATAATATGTTTTTGAATCTTCAATTATCTTTGAGAGACCAAAATCAGAAAGAACTGCTGCGCCGTTCTTTCGCAATAAAATGTTGTCGCTCTTCAAATCTGCATGAACAACTTTTTTTTCATGTAAATAGGACATGGCGTAAGCTACATCGACCATCATATTTCGACAGTCACACCAGTAAACGAATGACTTGGGTGTATCCCAGATGTAATCGCATAGAGTACCCCCATCAATCAATTCCATAACCAGAAGCGTATGCCGCGATGTATGAATAACGTCAATATATTGAACAATACTCGGATGATGGAGTGTTTTGAGAATATTTGTTTCACTTTGAGCTGCTTGAGACAATTTCGTTTTTGTAACTTTGTAAGCCACCTCTTGGGATCCACGATAAGTTCCTCTATAGACCTTTCCAAAGTAACCTTCGCCAAGTTTTCCTTCATACTTGATCCATGACTCTAAAGTAGAACGCTCGTAAAAGACCAACAAAATGTATTGTGTTGAGCGAAGGAAAATCTTTTCAATCTAACTTCTACTGGATCATAATGTGAGGCTCTATATGAAATCAGCTGTTACTGAAGTACTTTGTAAATATTAATCATATGGCCTAGGAGCTTCAGATATAGTAGCATATTCAAAGATCTACCACGGTCTGTGAATGATGAAAACCTAGGAACATTGTGTCTTTCTGTTATGTAACTGTGGGTAGGCACGAGAGTAGCGCTCGATGGTACACTTTCGTCACACATTACTGTAACATACATGTTCAATTGTATTTTACAGTGAGAATTTCCAGTTTTCTCGTACTTAGCTAACAGCATCACAAGCTGTGGAACATCAGCAGATTTTTTTTGTACTTGCTGTGAAAATTGGAAATAAACATTACGTCTCAAGAGGGACTAATAAAAAACAACTGAGATTAAGTTTAAAGAGGAAGAGTTCCTTCTTATTCATTGATGGTCACGAAAACGTAATAAATTTTTCACAAATACATTTGCATGCGTGTTCTACAATGTGACTGTGGATAACATGAAAACTAAGAAGCAAATTCGCCTCAACATTCTGTCATTCATCCAAAGATCCTCACCGAAACTCATCAACACTCAGACCTACACAAGTAATTAATCTGTCATTGATGATGATGAGGCCCTTCGAAGTAGTCGGATCATACATTAAGCTCCTTTTCTACCTTTTTGTTACCTTTATTATGCACTACTCGTTTGACGGGTCTTCGTTTGTTATTGTCTTTGATGGAAACCTGTTTAGAACTGTCGAAATCAATGTAGTAATTATTCAACTGAGCACGGCTTGCTCCCCTCGCATATGCTTCTTCGATAATTTCACATTCTTCTTCTGAGTAACTACACCATTCTTCTTCTTCATATGGTGAGTATGGATTCAAGTTCGATTGCCACATCCATTCAACATACGTAGAAGTATCATTAGATGCCATTACGTATCTATGTCTGATTGTCGTTTCACAAGAATAAAATAATGCTGCCGATGTGTTCTTATAGTAAACACTTGAGACCTTATTTTGGTTTAAAAACTAAAGCAAATGAAAAATTTTTCATTGTAGTCACTAAGAGAAAATGAGAAATACAAAGAGTCTACTACTAAATTAGTGGAGTATGGGTTTGTTATTTTCAAGAAACTGACTAGCATCTTCATCCCACCCACACTCACATCTACGACCAACACGCACAAATACACACACCAGCCATTCTTCGTACGACAAAAGTTAAACTCCAAGTTGCAAATAAATCATTCATTAAAAATGTCAAATGCATTCATTATTTAAGTGTTCTAGTATATAATTTCTGCTAAAAATCCTTTCTGAGGAATATTAATTATACAGTTCAGAATTTCCAATGGTATAAAAAGCAGGAAATATTATCCAAAACTTTTAATAGTAATTAACAATAATCAAGGGGGAATCAACGGATTCCCGAGATTCAGAATCCCATGAAAATCCCTGAAACCCCATGGGAATCCGTGAATCCCTTGGAAATCCAGGGAATCCTATGGGGATTCCTGGAATTCCATGAGAATCCGGGAATTTTGTGGAAATCCTGGAATCCCATGGAAATCCAAGGAATCCTATGGGAATCCCGGGAACCCCACGGGAATCCTATGGGAATGCTGTGGAAATTCAAAGAATACTTGAACTAGATGTCTGAACAACACTGAAATTATAACTCATGCTCAAGCATACCAAGTATCAATTCATTCACTTAATATTTTGAAACTCATTCTTTTAAAAGAACCATGTAGAAGTATGGGAGATAAGGGTGTGGGTATGAATGTTTCGTGGGGATGGGGAGAAAACGCAGATCCACACCCTCATAAATATCGTTAACTGAACATTATGGGCTATAGAAGCGACTGCTTTCTAACGAAATAATGTGAGCCAAATCGTGACATCTAGTATGATTATTTATACAGTTCATATAGGTGAGAAATTTCAAACACTTTGCATAATGACGCTTATATTGATTCATAGAAGGGAGATCGAACTACAACTTTAAATTCCGCATAAAATATGTAAATATAATTGAATTAAGGGACTAGCTCCGTAGGTGAACTTGCGGTCTTTTCATTTTATCCAATATCAGTAAGTCGTAGTTTCGCGATCAAGACTATTCTTTCTACACTGATCAATAATGATCTACCCGTTAATATTAATACAAAAACCAAACATAAGTAAATAATCTATTGACTTTTTACTACATGATAGGAACTATATACTAACCGATTAGTTTATATTAGTTCACCGTCCGCCTCATTTAATAAAACGGACATGATTAATGAGAAAACGTAACAGGTTAGTTCTAATTGATGTTACTCTGGTTTTTTGCTGCTCTTTCATGGACAAAGGAAAATGAAACAGAAGAGCTTCTTGTGTCTCTAGTATTGATGCATATCTGATAAGAAAGTTTATCTAGACTTAGTGATTAGTGAGTTAATTTTTTTCTGAGGAAGAATAATTATTACTCGCGTTTCAAAATTCAAGGAAAACCTGGAGGCACCAATTGAGTCTTCGAAAAAGAAAAACAGGCCGCTAGAAAACAAAATAAATAGATGTGCAGAACACAATAAGGATCTTGAATATTTGAGCAAAGTTCAGGCAATTCAGTACGTGTGAAATCTGTTTTGTTTCCCATTCAAATCCAGTGAGTTGAACTTCTTATTAAAGCTTTCAAAAATGTCACAAAAGACAAGAAAAAGACGGCTTCGAAACAATCAGTTTCAAAACTATCTCATGATCTTCTCCTTTATGATAATTTTAAAAAGACTATTTATCAGGTTTATTATCTAGTCTATAATCTTCTTTCTAGATTTGATGTTAATGTTGCTTGGAAGACAACAAGAGAATCTGCAATAAAACAAGATAAATCATTTGTACGAGTCTAGTGTGAAAAAAAATCTGCACTGTCTAATCTGACGAAAATAATTACAACTCATTGGATCAAGAGTCAAGCTAGTACTTCAATTCTTATGTTGCTTTTTTATCCAAATCAGAGAAATGTACAGTGGAGGGCCAATTGAAATTCTTCCTACTACCTTTGTTGTTACTATACTTCTTTTATTTTCTTAATCTACTATATATAGCGAGAAAGCCCGGAGTGTGCTGCATCTTTTGATATATTTACGCTGAACATTAAATGCAGTTAAAAGTATAAAAAATGAATTAGAAAGAAAGTGACATTTTTCTTTTTACTATGGAGTGTCCATAATGTTGTAACATTTTTTATTTCGCAAATATTGCGGCTTAGGTGAATGATAACATTTTGAATTCTTCTTGAAAAGATGCGCTGCGAAATTCTCTACAAAATCTGTATAATAAAATTCTATTTTACCTGTTTCAATAGTTTTTCTTATACTCACAATGAATAACCTACATGACAGCGTCACTTCCCATCATATGGAAGAATGTTTACAGTAGTGTCAAACTTGAAAATTGAATTCAAGTACTCAACTACCAGTTCAAGCATTCAACTATTCAATTATCGAAGTATTCAAGTATTCAAGTATTCAACTATTCAACTATTCAACTATTCAAGTATTCAATTATTCAAAGATTCAACTATTCAACTATTCAAGTATCCAACTATTCAAAGATTCACGTATTCAACTATTCAAGTCTTCAAGTATTCAAATATTCAACTATTCAAGTTTTCAATTAGTCAGAGCCTGGAACGCTACAGGGTTCTCTAGAATGCTGCCAGTATTACATAGGATGTTAGAAGCTTCTTCTATAATGCTACAAGTAGCTCCTAGGATGCTACAAGTATTCCCTGTGATGCTACAAACATCCGCTGGGATGTTGCAAGCATCCAATAGGATGCTACAAACATCCGCTGGGATGTTGCAAGCATCCAATAGGATGCTATAAATATCTCCTAGGATGATACAAGTATCTCATAGGATGCTACAGATTTTGGTTAAGATGCTTCCGACATTGTCTGGGGCGCTACAAGAGCTATGTGAGAGGCTTGAGCTACTGTGCAGCAATGAGTGGAACAATGATGTGCACAAATACGTGCATGGGTCGCGACGCTGAAGTAGAAGGTGAGTTAGGTGGAGAACAGCAGTTCCCCACTGAATATCCTCAGAACATTTGAGAAGTTTAAATTTGAATAGTTGAATACTTGAAACTTGAATAGTTGATTAGTTGGAATTTTAACTATTCAATAATTGAATACTTGAATTCAAGTTTCAAGTATTATATGTATGTTGTGAGTATAAGAAAAACCATTAAAACAGGTAAAATAGAATTTTATTATACAGATTTTGTAGAGAATTTCGGAGCGCATCTTTTCAAAAAGAATTCAGGATGTTATTATTCACCTAAGCCGTGATATTTGCGAAATAAAAAATATTACAACATTATGAACACCACATAGTGGAAAGAAAAATGTCACTTTCTTTCTAATTCATTTTTTATACTTTTAACTGCATTTAATGTTCAGCGTAAATATATCATAAGATGCAGTATGTTCCGGGCTTTCTCGCTATATATAGTAGATTAAGAAAATAAAAGTATAGTAACAACAAAAGCAGTAAGGAGAATTTCAATTGGCTCCACTGTAACTGATCCTATGACAAAATTCATAATTGTCTTCTTCATCAGCTAGCAATAAATCCCAATTTCATGCAATAAGAGTCTCCAAGCCAATTTCTCCCTCACTCTCAAACATTTTTTCTCTTGTGTCAAAATTGATGCCAAAAACAAAGAATATAGTCATAGATAGGGAACCTCTTATCTTTTAATAGATAGAAAAGCTGTGCTACTGCCTTATTGGTTTAAGCGTGTTCAACTGTCAGATTACTGAATGAATAAAAGGTGACACATAAGATGCCATAGATTCATTTGATTCGACATCTGTGTTGTATTACTCATTAATTTACTTTGTTTCTTGCTGCTGTTTGTTGTTCTGCCTCAGATATTTTCCCATGAAAGTTAGAAAGTAAATTGTCGTGTTGTCAAAATGGAGTTGATATCAATCTAATTAGATTAATTGTATAGAATTTGTGAAATAGATAACCCTAAAGAACTATCTTTGATTAAGCACATGAAATACATGAGCATCTGGAGCTAGAACGTCATGCGCTATGGACAAATCTTGAGAGGTGTGCAGTTTATGCGCATAAGAAAGAAAACTCTATATAGGAAAAGGTAGTTTCGAGTTTTAATCACTTTCTAGATCGAACATTTTTCACCTAAGAATAAGTTCGACTTGTGAAAATATATCTACTGCTTTTAATCACGGTTTTAATGAAAATCATTCTTCCATACGTGTGACTTTCTTAAGATTCTTGAACATGAAAGTGATGTGCTATAGACAAGCCTTGAAGTCTGCACAGATCAAGCATACGAATAAAAACTCGCCTAGGCAATGATTTTCCTTAATAGTTTAATGCAGCTTTTCTAACCATATGATAAAGCAGTGAAGTCTTGACACTGAGCTCTATGAGATTTTTAGAACGAGGGTGAGGATCATAGAGGTTAAATATGAATTTCGTGAATGTCATTTGTGATTATAAAAATTCCGAGAATACAGGAATCCGAGATTCCCGTGGAACTCCTGGGATTCCCAGAATTCTCGTGGGATTCTCGTATTTCTGGAATCCAAAGAATCCCACGGGAATTCTATGGGAATCCGAAGAATTCCATGAGAATCCGAGAATCGTCTGGAAATTTGGGAATCCCATGGAAATCCTGGAAATCCCATGGGAATTCGGAAATCCTGGGAATCCGAAATTCTCCGCTTCCCCTTTGACAACAATAGACTAAGTGTTTGATTCAACAAAAAAAAACTTTGACAAAAAAATTTAAACTCACCGTTGAATCAACTGTCTTTGATGTTTACTCGATTCGTTTGTAAGGTGAGAAATGGAGTTTCAGTTTATTTACGCATTTTTCTCTTTCTTTCTCTCATTCTCTTATCT